TTCAGGTCTCCATTACTCTCTTTCATTCCCTTAAAATTTCCCAGTGTTGGAAATAACAGTGTCTTCTCATATGATGTTACCATTTGACTGGATAGATGGTCTTTAACACTGACTAGAGAAGTTTTGGGGGATGGTGAAGCACTAGGATTTTTCCCACTATCTGAAATATGAGCAGGTGATGATTTGATAGTGTCAACCTGTAGGCCAAGCACTTGGGAGGCTGAGGCAGGAGGATTTCCAAAGTCCAGGACCAGCTTGAGCTGTGTAGTGATATGGTAAGACCAGTCTGGAAGGGAGGCAGGAAGGGCAACAGGTCAAATGCTTTGAGGCTCTGGAGTCCCTTCTGATTCTCTAGTGCCATTTGTCATTGTGTTTTTCCCCGTTCACTTTCAGCTCTTTCATGAGCTTGGATTGTTCTCTTTGTTAACTCAGAAGCCTACAGATGATGAAAAGATTACAAATTCAGGGGTCCACACCCAAAATGATTTCCAATCTGAAAAATAAAATTGGACCTGATAGCCTTGTCTAGAAGTAGAGCTAGTGAACGAAACAAACTAATATCTGGGAAGAGGACCGAGCATGGAGTCCGATGTTTGACTTGATCACTACATAGTTAAGCACATGGCCTCAAGATGTAGGAAACAGGTAAGATAAAGCCAATATATTGAAAGCACTATCCCAAATTATTTGTCAACAGTATTTTTTTTTTTTTAGTGTCATAGGACCTAAAGATATACATGCATACATACACACTTTGTAGCCTGATAGCTTTTACACTTTGGTCAACAGGGTGTGCTGGTCATCATGTGTAAATATGGATAAAAATGTACTTTATGTTTGATTAGGAATGTGCACATCCTTTGGTAGATGTGGTAACAGATGTCTTTTGGGTAACAGATGTCTTGGCTTTTACAGACTAATTGGCAAAGAGGGAGAAAAGGGAGATAATTAAAGGGGTGGGAAGAGACACAAGAAAAGTGCAGTCTTCGTGTTGGGGAAAGATCTAATAGACCTCCTTATTATGGATAATTGCCTCTTTCTTCAACCTCATTTGCTGTCTTCTACCATATGACTTAAGGGTAAGTATAAGATAAAGAACCACAAAGAGGGACTGCTATCCGCTAACAACCAGATTTATCTTGCCACGGAGTATTCTAAAAAAAAAACTGACTCAACTAGCATCAGGTTTTAAAAAACAAAATAGAAAAGCATAAATCAAATCAATAATGGCAACTTCCATTTTAATTGGCAGCTTAAAGTTCTGTGTTGAGGATGGTTGTTGTAAATATTCTCTAATTATACAAATGCAACGACATAGTGGACTGGTGAGAAGTGAAAGATGAGAGATCGAATATGGCATGTGTTACTTTTACATTTTAGATTTCGTTTAGTTTGCTGCTCCTCGTCAGTGTGGGAGTCTGCCAATTGACCTGGAGTAGGAGGAGACACTGAACAGATGTTTGAGCCCATTACCATTAGCAAATCCTCATTTTGTCTGTGTTTTCTGTCCTGCAAGGTTTAAGGTGAGGTAGTATTTCCTGTGTCTTCTCTAAGGTCTACATTATCCTGCTGTGTGCCTTTTGCTTTAAACAGAAGGGGATTCTATAGCTCGTTAAGAAATTAGTGGAAAGTGCAAATCATTCTGTGCTTAGGAATACTATGTATCCATTTTTATGAAGATCCAGTTAGTATTTTGAAGAGAAATATAGGGGTTGTGGGTGGGAGGTGCTCAGAGGCTTACTCAGTGTAGAATTTAGATAAGCTGAAAAGGCAGTTTATTTGTTCTAGCTGCAAGGCACATGATACTGAGTTTTATTTGACCACCTGTCTTGTCAGTAAACTGGTAGGTAGAATTTGCCTGAAAATATCCACCTTGCCTTAAATTTCATTGAAATAACACAGACCAAAATTTCAGATATCAGTAATAATGACTAAATTGTTTCTGTTATCTTAATAATTGTATTTTATTTAGCCTCTAGAAACCAGTGTGGTTACCAAAATAGTTCTTAATACCATGGCAGCTTTGGCAGGATAGGAACAAGTTCACTAGTGTCATCTAGAGACTGGTACATCTAGTCAATTACTTGTTTCATGCCTCATTTCATATCTGTAAAATGCAGATACTGACAACCAAGTTGCCTTGGGAATTGGACACCATGGTAAGTGCACATGAAATTACCCTGTACTTAAATGTTGAGTGGTTGATGGCTGTTTTCACTCAGTGGGCCCATACATCCCTTAGGTGGTTTCCTTGACTTCCTAGCTTACTTCCTTCAGGAAGCAAACAATTAAGATTTGAAAATAAGATCTATTTATTTTTATTTCATATGTACAGTTCTTTTTTCTTGCATGTATGTCTGGGTGCCCCGTGGATGCAGTGCCTGGGATGGATACATTGGAACTGGAGCTACAGATAGATAATCGTGAGTTATCATTTGGGTGGTAGGAAGCAAGTCCAGGTCCTGTGTGACAGAACCAAGTGCCCGGAGCTGCTGACACAGCTATTCAGCCCAGAGAATAAAAGATTCTGATGACCACAGTGACAAAGGGCTTGGGATGGTATGTCAAAGGGCTAGTCTACCCACTTTCAGCCCTTTGCATATGAAGGTAGAGTCCAGCTATAGAGTGGCAAGTGTTTTTCATGCTTTATAATATCAGATTTCCCTGAACTGTCAATTTAGAGTCATCATATCTATAAAATGCAGACAGCGCTTTGCAGGGATGTCAAGATTTCTGGGCTTGGTGCTCTTACTTTGGCTCATTTGTAGAGGACACTATGACTCCCCAAAGTCAGCCAGCAAGTGAGGAACAAAGCCAGGCTAGAGACCCTCCTCTCCTCTCTCCTCTTTCTACTGGCTGTGGTAAAAGTTAAGACATGCATTAAAGCCTATCAAAACATTTAGATCAACCCAAGCTGCTATTCTTTCACTACTATATTTTTTCTATTATGTTAGCTTTACATTCTATTCTCAGTTGCTAAAAAGTAGTGGTATGAGAGAATAGCGAAGCCTGAACCTTGAAAAGCACTAAGATACTCAGTCCCTCTGGCAGAGCAGAGAGAGCCACATCTTTGTCAGGCCTTTTAAATTGCTGCTATGTCCTGTTTCATGCAGCTCTCCTTGCAAGGATTATGGAGGTCTGTTGATGGTTTCTGTAATAAAACTAGTTTTACTCTCTTGAATGTTAGAAGAGGCAGTTACTAATGCTTGTGTCATACTTCCTATGTACCAGAAGCGAGCACAAAAGATTTATATGATTAATTTACTCTCCATGGCAACACGATGAGGCAGCATGTTGTCATTGTAGTTATCACCTTTCAGAGGAGGCCCAGAGGGACTAAGTAATGTCCAAGATGACAAAGCATGAGTAATCAGGTGTTGAAGACACTTGACAGGTTGGAAATGCTATGATTTCACAGTCAGAGACACCTGGGTTAATGGCTGCTCTTTGTATGATCTCTCTTTCATATAAGGAAATGGACTTAATATGCTTTTGTTGTTGGTGTTCTTGACAGTCTCAAATATGTAGCTCCAGTTGGCTGGGAACTTGCAGAGATCCATCTGCCTCTGCCTCAAGAGTGCTGGTAGTAAAGGTATACTCCACCTTAACACATGTTTTAGTCTCTTTGGTTGTGAGCCTTAGCCTTTCATGGCTGCACCATCTCTCCAGCCTCCTTAACAGGTTTCTTAATCACTAGGTTTTGTATACCTGACTGTCTGGAATCTCAGCCAACCTAGAATATGTGATTCTACTACAGCTCATTACTATTGATAAAAAAATCTAAACTGATTATGCATTTATAAATTGAATATTTTGTTAATATAAAATTGGGTCTTGTTTTAGTAATTCGAAGTTTAAAGACTAATTTTATTAACTGATTATATGGCAAAGTTTTGGGTATTAATATAATTGGGGGTAGTTATGATTTAACAAAACATTCATTAAAATCATAAAAGAAATATTTAGAATTGTAGTATTTAGAAATGATATATTGAAATAAGAGTTTGAATAAAGTACAACCCCTAGACTCTAGGCTGATATCTCATATCAAGACAGAAATAACAAATCATGTGGACATATTTGTGAAGTTCTAAGTGTGAGTATCTAAGTGTGTGTATGGTAAGGGGAATGTTGAAATGATATGTTCATAAATAGATTAATTTATCAAAACCAAAGTTTTGAAAGTTTTTTGTCGTCATTATAATAAACTCTATTATCAATGTGCTTTCTTTTGTGGAATAGAGGTGCCCATTAAAAACTGAAGGTTAATGTCTACATTCAAATGGCTGTCGTTCTAACATATATTCCTTAGTGGAAGGGAAAGTAGAGTGGTTTATCAATGCCTTCATGGTACCTACAACAACAATATCAACCTTAAGGTGCAGAGACAATAAACACCTCTAGTCTTCGACCTATGTGTTTCTATAATTCATTTTGTGTTCACCACACGCATTTAAAAGTTTGGGGAAGTGTAAATGAACATAGCATGTTGGCTTGTTGGGTTGCAGTTGCCCTTGCCTCGTGTCATTGTTCTGCAAGCTGTGCCAGCCAGCTCCTTGTTGCTGAGTTACTGTTTCCTAGCATTTCATAGGTGCTATTGATTTAGGAGTAAACCGATTGAGCTTGAGAAGGATTTATAGTGTGAACCAGGAAAACATAGTAACTATAGGAACCACTGTATAAATTTTAATAACTATACAGAGGATAGTTGATTGAGTAGCCTGTTTAATGAAGCACGTTTAATGAAGCCTGTTTAATGGAGAGGGCATCGTCATCACATTTTAAAACTTGTCTTCATTATGTTAAGATTGAATTTCTGTTCTCAAGTTCCACAAAGTAACTGCATGCCATCTTCTGAATCTTTTTTTTTTTTTTTACAAGGATGACACGAACTGACAATTCAGGCAATGATGGAGAGGATAACCTAAATGCCCTTCCCCTAAAACGAGATTGATGACCATCTTCTGAAACTTAAGCTTCTTGCCTTACTTTTTCCAGGACTGAAGTGTGTGTGTCTTTTGTGTGACTCTTCAAACTTTACCTGCCAAACTGAAGGAGCGTGTTGGGCCTCTGTCATGTTAACCAATGGGAAAGAGCAGGTCATCAAATCCTGTGTGTCTCTCCCAGAATTAAATGCTCAAGTCTTCTGCCACAGTTCCAACAACGTGACCAAAACAGAATGTTGCTTCACAGACTTCTGCAACAACATCACACTACACCTTCCAACAGGTAAGGGGGGTGTGTAACCTCACTCACTCCTAATTATTATCACTCTTGGAAGATGATGAGCATGGCAGAAACCAAACCAGCTAATGTTTCCTGAGATAAAAATGTGTGTTTTACACCTCTTCTTATTTTTGGCTGGTGAAATTCTCCAGAGTCTAGCTGAGGTTGATGTTTTAATTTTTAAATTGCACATCATTGTCAAAACATTGGGATCAGTGTCGCAGTCTTGGAGAAATTTGACCACATGCATTACATTTTTTTGACATAACGAATGGACCTCAAGTAAAATGTAAATTTTCCTGGATTCTTTTTATCAAAGAAAGAAAAGAAAAAAAATCTAATCTCAAGTGATAGAAATAGATCATCAGCCTACAATACTAGAAAGGAAGGGACAAGAGAATGTCTTGGAATGATGAAAACAGTCATATGTATGCCAAGCTTCATTAAGCTGGTGTGTGCTGTATCATGTTAAAATCATACCTCCTTAACACTGATTTTTTTTTAAAAAAAAAAACAAAACAAAAACGAAAGACTGGTTTCTGATTGAATTTGCGGGTACTAGCAGATCTAGGAAGAATCAGAATTCTATCCCACCAAGACCCTTTGATTGCCTGGCTGCATACACAGTATCTTGTCCCAACAGAGATGTTATTGTCCAAGTCCTGTCCTCCACTCATGCTCACTGGAAGAGCATGGCCTTATCAAAAGCCACTGCTACAGCCAATGGGAAGTCCCTCTTCAACCCCTGCACCTTTTGTATCTTGTCACCAATAAAACAAACAATGAATATGAAGTCTTACTTCAGGATGCCCCTGGCTCTCAGGGGAGGACATCACCACGGCATTTCAGATCATCACTAAGTTCAAGAAGGATATGTATAAGACAGAGGGAAAAAGTGCTATCTAAACCAACATTGCAGATGGTTTTAGGCCATGAAATGGGCCGATTATAACTTGTCAGGTTGAATCATGTGAAGTAATACGTAGAACAGCATTTCCCAAAGGATGAAATAGGCCGCACAGTGGTACTTGAAAGGGTTTTGAGATTGCTTATATGACTATTGAAGTGGTATGATATTGGACTTCAAAAGCAGTTATAGATCTGTATTGAAAAATCACAATGAAATTTGTGTGTACAATTCACTTATTTGGATAAAAAATTCTAAATACTTCAAAGATGAATGTTATTAAATAATACTGAATTATATAATTAGCTTTCTTAATTCTCTTGCTGTTTTTCAAGATGTCTTTTTTGATGTTACTATGTCTTTAACACTTAGGGTGTTTTGTTTGTTTGCTTGCTTGCTTTTGTTTTTTGAGACAGGATTTCTCTGTGTAGCCTTGGCTGTCCTGGAACTTAAATGGTAGACCAGGTTGGCTTCAAACGCACAGAGATCTGCCTGCCTCTGTCTTCCAAGTGTTGGGATTACAGATGTGCCCTTTAATCATTACTGCCTGTTTAGATTTTACATTTGGGGTTATGTTCAGTTTAAATTTGTGTAAAATGACACAGTACATAATGGTGAGGTAAAGGAATAATTTTACTTTATTTTTTTCTCATGTGGGTAAGAAGTTGTTTCAATGTTCAACATCATTGGTTAAAAACTCTGGTCCTGGGGCTGGAGAGATGGCTCACTGGTTAAGAGTACTGGCTGCTCTTCCCAAGACCCAGGTTTGGTTCCCAGCATCCACATAGCATCCTATAAACCTCTGTAACTCCAGTTTGAGGGGATCTTCTGCCCACTTTTGGCTTCTGTGGGCTTGGCACTATCTGGTTCACAGATATACATGCAGGGAAAGCTCTCTATATAAAATAAATATAAATAAATCTTTAAAAAAGCGCTGGTTTTTCCATGTAGAGTTATTTTGATAATTTATTTGAAAATAAGGAAGGAAATACATGTGTGTGTATGTGTGTGTGTGTGTGTGTGTGTGTGTGTGTGTGTGTATGTACATATATGTTTAAATAGGTGCATTTATGGAAGCTTTGTGTTATGTAGTTTTTCTGTGCCTTAAGCTACTACTGAACTGTCTTCATTACTACAGATGTTTAATAAAAAATATTGAAATTAGAATGCGTGACCCTTCTAGCTTGTTTTAAAAAACTTATTTGAGTATTAAAAGTAATTTTCAACTTCATTTAAATTTAGCAGTTTGATTGTTTCTATAAAACACATGCTGAAATTTTGAGATCCCTGAGATGAATGCATAGAATAATCTGGAGAAAATAGTGATGTTAACAATATTGATCCATGAACATAGTATATTTTCTTATTTATTTCATTTTCCAGTTACTCTTAGTCGTGTTTGCAGGTGTCAGGGAACACATCTTAGGCATATTTCATGAAGTTTACTAAGCTTCTCAATGTAATTGTGAATGGCATTTTAGTATCTCAGTTTGTAAATCTTAATTACTCCTCTGTGAAAAAGCTAATTTTGTTCATGATTTCACATCAAGATTGTGAAGATAATGTATTAGTTCAAGTGGTTTTGTTTGTTTGTTTGTTTTTTTGTTTGTTTGTTTTGAAAGATTCTTTGGACTTCCCCATTATTTGTGAACATAGTCATTTCAAACATTTTAATTCTGGTCTGTGTTCATTTTGTTTCTCTTTCTTGTGTTTTTGCCCAACTGTGGACCTTTAATGTGCTGGTTACTGGAGGTCAGGGAAGCAAAGATTCTTGTGGTCCCAGGGAAAGTGCTTGGTTCCTTATTGCTTTTTTTCTTTTCTTTTATTTATTTGTTTATGTTTTTGTTTTGAGACAAGGCTTGATTTGTACTCGATGTGTAGCTCAGGCTGCTCTCAAATTCATGGCTATATTCTTGTCTCCAGTTGTCTAAGAACTAGGATTTATAGAACTGTGTCCACTAACCCTGGCCACCAGCCCCTTTACCATCAATTATTATGTTAACTGTAGGTACTGGGTACCTAGTATTGATTGGAAGAATTTTCTTTTATTTTTAATTTGGCGAAATTTGTTTTTGATCCAAAGTGGATATCCATTTTCAAACATTTTTTGTGACTTTATTAAGGTTATCTTGTGACAACTTGTATCATTTAGTGACACTGTATTCTAAATGGGCACAAAACTGAATAGGGCTACATATGGGACATGTGGTCTCCTTGTATGGAGTTGTTTTGGGTTGGAGCAGGGACCAGGAATAGTTCTTAGCTATTTGTGGAACAGTAGTATTTTGGAGAAAGGTTTGAAACTTTTTAGCTAAGCACAGACCATTACAACAATTACTGCATTTTCATGTCATCAGAGAGTGTGGTTGGTGACCCTGCTCTACCTATTATGGATCTGTCAGTTTTAAATGTGACATAGTGGAATATAGAAAAGCACACTGAAGAGTAGAGAGATATTTCTACAGTACTTGACAATGAGCTTCTTGTTCCTGGACAAAATTTCGGAAAGAAAGTCAGGAGATAATTAGGAGCTGTTATGTAGATGTGGAACTTCCTTTTAGGATTCTACAAGGACCCTTGCCCCCACGTTGCTGGTTTTAAATCCATCACCCTCCAGGCCATTTGTGGATACTGATTTGATGAAGGACCAAGTCTCTGCCTGCTTCATGTGGCCCTCTTCTGTCACTAGATCTTGTAGTAGTTGGTTTCTTAGTTTGTTTCTTTGTGAAAAAAATTTCTACCTTCAATAAAGCTTGTGTCTCCTCCACCACATCCGGTCCCAGCTGTGGCCCTAGAAACAGATGGACAACTACTGGCACTTACTTTCTTCCCTCCTCTAAATGCTTTAAAATGTTTGATGTTGATTTCTAATAGCTTAGTGGCTTTCATATGGGTTCCTATTGTAACGCAGAAAGAAACTCATTTTGTATAATTGTTTTTTAACCTCACATGGACACAAGACAAAGAATTTTACAAAACATATCTTTAAAATGTGTAAGGTACCTCAATCGTTGATATTTCCTTTTGTAAAAAGAAGTGCTGGTTGGATCCCACTGATGGGCTTAGTCACAGTTTAACTGATATTTAAAGGGTAGAATTTGTAAATGGATCAAGGGCATTTATTATTTTAATTCACTAGTGTAAAAAACTATTCAAAATGTTAGTTACTATTTTAATTTCACACATTTTCCTATTAAATGGCCTAAAATTGATTAGATTTAAGACAAATTAATTCACATCACTGAGACTGAAATTTAATTTAGATCATGTTTAAATTGAATAATTTTCTCTTAAAACGCACCTTCTGGTTTAATTTTACACATGGGTATACTTTTCAGGAGATAGTAGTTTTATTTGATAGAAGTAAGCTTATATTTTGGTAGAAATATAATACTAGAAAATCTTCTCTCGTCCCTGAAGGCTATCAAAACAGATATTATTGCGATGTCACTGAAGAAATAAGTAATTTTCCAAGTTCAATATGAACACACAGACGGGTTTTTATTTTCCTCCAAAATCTGGAAAGCAAAATCATTTCAAAGAATAGTTATTTATTTAACTAGTACTTAAATTTGTGTCTTTACAAACAGCAAACATATTAGTCCCATAGAACAAATATTGTATCATGTTTGAAATTTAATATAGATTATACAAATGAATTAAACTAGAGAAACACATGCTTTCTAGAGCTTGCTCTGTCTCATCTCTTCTTTCTACTTGTTCTTATAGCAGGAGAAAGCCTTTTTAGTAGCTGCCTCTTTTTGGAGGTGTGTGTCTCATCTGGGACCTGTTTCCTTTGACCTAGTCCTGACATTTGCCTGTTGTCCATTCTCTGCTTTCTCTGAGATAAGGAGAGAAGATACTTTGGCTAGAATATTTCATTTTCAGAAGTAAATGAAGTATCCCTAGCCCTTCAAGGGTATTTCCATTTCAAAAGGAATACACTGATTTGCATGTGTTAGGATGCACTGGGTTGCTGGGAGAGCATCTATATTAGAGCAAACAAATAATAAGGAAAAAATTTTTATACTCTTGAGTATATTTGTCCCAACAGTGGCTTCCATGAGTCCCATAGTCCATTTCCCTCAGTTTTTCT